ATTTTTTCCTCAAAAGATCTTGCCTCCAGCTAAATATCTTCTCTGGTAGTGTACTCACTGAAGCTTTGTCTAACACTATTCTGAACCAGCAAATGTTGAGTGATTCAATGGTTGGCAGGCTTGTGGAGCTGTTCCCCAGTTTTTCCAATCATCTCATATGTTGTTAGCACAACCATTGAAGACATTACATTAGCTTATCGTCTTTGATTTCTCCTCGATTTCTTCCATAGAAGACACAGTAGGGTATGGTTTGTGGTTGAAAATGCATTTGGATCTCGTTTTCCCAGTTCGACAGAGTTGCCAAGGGACATACAATAAGAGTAGCTGCTGAAGCCATTGCTGAATTGCCGAGGCGAGATCACTGAGAAAGGTGGGCTGATTGGCTGGTCTCCAGAATGAACATTAATGCCGTCAAAGTCTTTCCAAGCCCCATGTCATCAGCAAGTATTGATCCTTGTGGTTCTCATATTCACTACCAGCCATCAGTTCAGTACATTCTTCAACACTATCCCTTATCCAGTCATTGTCAGAGTGGCTCCAGAGTTGTGAAGTTATCTCTTCGTTGGATTCGTTTTGTTTCAGAAATCGGACAGCGCTCAGTTGGTGATCTTTCAAAGTTGTGCGGCAGAGGGCAAGGTATGGGTCAAGCCAACTGTGCTTGCAAGATTTTCCAAGGTGATAATGTTGAGATGTGAGGTGTGGTATCCGAAAGAAAAGGTCTGGGTTGTAGTTCCAAATTGACAGGAGCTCAATATCTGCACTACCAAATCCAGAAAGAACGGCCTGAAAACACAAGCCCGTAGTTGAAAAATTGTTGGGGTCTTTGTAACAAAAAATGCTTGAAGTTTCATCAAAGCTGGCTCCGGCCGAGAAAATTGAGCTTCGGTCATCCGAGTGGAGCAACCTCCCACCGGCCCTAACAGCGGTGTTAAGCTCAAAAGTGTTCGTGAGAACCTTTTGCTGAGTTCGGAAAGGGATGTGTGAGGTAACCTCTGCCTTC